GTCTATACCAGGGCTGCAAGAAATAGTGATAGTAGTCAGAACCACCGTTGCCGTCGCCTTCATCGCTAAGATAGTCTCTATCAAGATACCGCGAGCGCAACCATTAATACCGAGCCTCCTCGGAAATATTTGGCCACCAGTCCTCCGTTGGGCAGGTTCCGTCGGGATGTCGGGGACATTGCCCCCGGCGAGTGTAGCTCGTTTCCATCTTGTCTTGGGGGGAATCAGAAAACCAAAGGTGTCGACGGGCCAGTACCAATCTTTGTGGGTTGTGCCGCCGGGTCTGATACGTATTATGGACATGTGGCGGATTATTGAACGAGAGAGGGCGCATGATGGGAGGAGAGATAGGGTGAGGAGGAAGGTGAGAGGGGTGAGGGGCGAGTGTAGACGCATGTGCTGCGGTTCTTGTGGTGAGTGTGGTTCCGTGGTTTTGATGTGTTTGGTGACTTGCCTGGTGCCTCTGTTTTGTTATGTTTTGTAGCAAAAGTTGATTTGTATTTCACCTCGACTACAACACGAAAGATTTCGGCCGAGACTACTAGGGCTTGTAGTGCGGGTAACAGAATTTACAAGCTAAACAGATGTCATGATAATCTAATTGATCTGGATTTCGTTCCGCAGCAACACAAATAAGAGGCGACGCGAATGGAAATATTACGCCTTGAAGCAACGAAACTCCGGCAGTGCTGAGGATGATAGTCACCTACCTGTCTGACTGAATGAATAGTAAGGGTTTTCAGGGGTTTGTTATGTTTCCGTCTAACCAGGACTTGAGACGTCATCGCTTGCATCCCAAGCAACGCCAACGAGGTTGGAGGGATCCATCTTTGAGTGGGTACAAGAGGAAGACGTTGTAATTACCAGCGGCAGGCAACGGTAAGACCTAACAGCGCAAGGAACGGCACGGGCGCACGTCACGCACACGCCGCACACAACTAAGCCTCGGGACTCGCCCGTCCGATATCACCTTGTTCCTTCTTACAAGGAGGTTGGTTGCTTATCATGGAAAACCGGCAATGAGTTGGGACGAATTTTGACTTTCCGAAATCCGAGGGCTGTCAAATATGTCAATGGGTCGAAGCCCGTCTGTGATGTCATTTTGGGTTTGAGCAACCGGGCAACAAGTGCCTCTTGGTATTTCCACCAAGCAACAACGGTTTAGAACGCATCTAGAAGCCGAACTCTGACGGAAGTAGTGAAAGACTAAAGAGGGTCGCCAAGTTCTAAACGGATTTGACCATATCACCAGCTTGCCAGGTTCAGCTTGTGTCGTTGCATTGTCTGTTTGTTTTAAGTACTCTGTTGACTTTGCGCCCTTTTCCATTTTCCCCCATATCGGAGGATCCTAGATCCTGTTGAGTCTGGTTGACCTTTCTCAGACGGGTTGTCAGCTTTTGCTGCGCACTGCGGTTACGCGGTAGGCTTTTTACAGACTTTTCACGAAGCCGTCTGTTTCTTTTATTCCCATGCGGCCTTTTCCCTCTTTTTCTAGACCGACCGACCACTTTTCCGCCTCCGCTCTTATCTACACGTGTACCGTATGTAGGCCAGCAGGATCTCCCAGCACTCGGAAGCCAATGCCGGGGCCCAGTCGTCACTCACTCGCCGCCAGCCCACCAAAAAAAACTCATTTAAACTCGACTGGCTCCATCCACTCCTGTAAAACCTAGTGGGCGTACAAAACAGAGGTAGTCCCGTGATTCTCATTCAGCTGCCTAGTGACACCGACTTCTTCTCTCCAGCACAACATTTCAGAAGAGCCCAGGCTCCGAAGTGCCCACCGTAGAACCGCAACGGTCGTAACCTGAAGGTGCCGAAAGGAAAACGAAACCCAGCCCTGAAGGTGCCCATCGGGTACTGTATGTACTTGAGGATTTGGGGTCTGGAGAGAAAAAAAAAAGACCGGGCTAGGCTTCAAACCTTTGGCACAAGCCACAAGCATGTTCCTGGATACTCTATCCATGTCACTGTTCGTGTTCAAAAACTCCAGTGAACTCCACACTCCGGCCGACGGTAGGCGGAAAGCGGAGATCGCACTCTGACCAGATACTGACTCAAGTGACTCTTCATTTTTGGTAGTGGTATGAACTTTACCGCTACAAAGGTAATTCGCAGTGGAGAGGAGGAGAGGGTGTTCATCCCCACAACGGGCATGGTAATTGTGTCTGAAGATTTTAGACAACATGCAGACGAGCCAGAGCATGGATAAGTAGAGTACAGGTACACATGCGACACAGAAGTTTGGGACAGGACGGAGCAAGGAAGAGAAAGGGCTGAACGGTTCCCTTTGCGAAACGCACTGCACCGCACCGCATCTCAGTGCCTACGTACATGTACCTTGCTGTACGTGTTATGCAGCAGTGCTGTGGGATATCACCGTCGCACTCCAGTTTCCAATGTTTGAAGAACCTCGCTGATGGATGGTACTCTCATTCAGCTCGGCACTCTCCCCCTCTCTCTCTTCTTCAGCGAGGCTTGATACAAGATAGTATCGGAACAGGCCGTAGACCGCCAGCAAAACCTCAGTATCGGGAATCTCCTCTGGCCGGCTGGCGAATATGAGATATACGATAAACCTCCCGCTGCCAGTGAACCGTGTTTTGAGATATGAAAATGGTTCCTGATAGGCTGACGGTGTGCTGCAGGCTACGTCAATTAGAGATCGACCTCTCGTCGTCGCCTGGGGCCGTGCTGAAGAAGGCCGGCATTCGCCTCATTGCGACACGCTGTGGCCGCAGTCTCCAACCAACTTTATCAGTTTGATCATAGAGTGCTTCTTTCGCTTATCGATCCCGTCTTGGTGTTTTGATGGGTTCGTCCCGTTCATTTCTCCTTCAGCAAACCGGCAAGGGCCGCCGTTGAAAGCCACCTTCAGAAGCTGATGCTCAGTTTCACTGTATGTAACCCCCACGGGCCAAACACGCACTAGCAATCCTGCCGCGAGGTGTGGTATCTTTGGACGCTTTGGTCTGATAGTGGTCACCCAGCTGTGTGATGGAAGACTGTACCGGATTCAATTCCCCTCTGTATTCAATACTGCACCAGAAATTCGTCAGAGCGTCATTTCCCGCGGAAGGAGTTGTTTAACGTGCCAATCGGGAAAAGCTGTCGTTGCCAGATCCAGACCACAGAACCGTGCGTGACATGTCGTCGAATTCCATCCCACATGGCGTCTGCATGCAGGTTTGCATAGTTGCATCACCACTTCAGCCATGTCAGTCTTGGCAAAAGATAGGCGGCCCCTCTTCTCTTCTTCGAACCCTGAAAGGGCCGGACGGACGACGACCGCTGGCTGCCCACTGGTGGTGTTTCATAACCCACGGAGTGACGATCTCAAGTCAGGAAAACGTGCGATGGACCGAATTGTTATGATCGTCCAGAGCTAAAATAGGGTAAGCCTCAATTGACATGTAGCGCTGCTAGTTGGAGTGGAAGCTTTCGGGAGCTTTCACCAATGCAGGCTGTTCTTCCTATCTCGAGCGAAATCTCATATCGGGGTCGGTCGCTGCGAGAACCTAATCCCTGCTAGTCGCCGGTTACATGACCTATCGTGGGGATTCCAGGGTCCCCTAGTGCGCTCTTACATGATATCAAAAGTCAGCTCAATTCAATTAGCGCATAAAACAGATTTGGCCTGTACTAGTACATGGCAGATCGAGGCATATCAAAACCGCAATTTCCAACCTGAGAAGGTTGAAGTTGTTGAGATGAGCAGCCAAACCCTACGTTCTGTCAAGGCTCCCCTCACACGAGCCGAGCTCTTGACTTCCTGCCCTACCTCGAGACGGCAGTGTACATAGTACAGAGTGAGTGCTTCAGAAGAAGGCATGGCGTGGGAGGTCTGTGACGCAAAAGACCGGAAACCAATGTAACACTTTGCCGAGGGTCAAAAAGATTAGCGTGATACTTTTTGCTTACATAGTAGTGTAGATACACACAGTACTGAAAACCAGGGTTTCTCGCCCAGCTATAAGTGCGATTTCTTTCGTAGACCTTCGACTCTCGCCACCGAGCTGACGAACAGCGCCTTCACAAGATGCTTGTTTTCCAATCCCACTGCAGCAGAGGGTAAACAAGATGTGCCTTCCTCGAGTATGGTCTAAATAGAAACCGGCCGCTACGCCGACCCGCTGGCGGCGAGCCAGGGACTTGAAGAGAGGTCTATTCTAGGAGGGCACTGGACGGGTTTAAGAGGCGACTTTTGTGGCCCGTCTTGTCCCCGTCGAGCCGTCTTGCCCTCGCTGCGTGACATTATGGCAGCCAGAACGACAAGGTCATTCCTGTCATCCTGTCTTATGAGCCTGCAAGGTCCGACAGATTCGGGCCAATGCCGTCCATGCAATTCCACTTCTCGAACATCGCCGGTTCCCACATCGCCAAGGATCGCAACCCACCATCTCCACGCGAAGCTGGGCCCCGGGTGGCCAGCCATCCCATCTCTTCCCTTCTTGGGACAGCTTGTCCGCCGCCGGTCGGGAGATAAGAAATTTTTTATCGGTTTTTTTGAGCCGTTCCTTTGGGATTTTCGGCTTCCCACACGCGCGGACTGGTCCCCGGTCGGGCTAGCATGCGCCTAGGGTTCCCCATCTGGTAACGTACACTAGACCTAGGTATGTACCTCACAATCTTTGCTCTTCGTGCTGATTTATAAAGATGGGCCGCCTACCTCTAGGCCTCGGTCGACTCTTAAGGATTTCTCCTTCCTTCACCAATGCTCTTGCGTCCCTCGCTAGGGTTTGGTGAAAGCTTCGGCAACCGCTCAATGCAAACGTGCTTTGCGCGCCGTCAATAACAACATCGAACCAACCTACCTTTCACGTCGACCGTCCTCCACTCAACACAACGATCTTCAGTCAGTTAAGGGATCCGACCAAGATAATCCCCTCTCCGCCAACTCGATCACTCATTGGTCCAAGCTACATACAAACTCTCACGAATCGTCCGTGCTCTCGCTCGGCTGATCGTCTCCCATCGTCTCGTCGACATTCAGCATCACCCGATTTTCGAGATTTCGCAGCTCGCTGCACCGCCTTGCAAAGATGGGGAAAGTGGGTGATTGGGTTGACACTGTCAACTGCAAGGTTGCCGCCAGCAAAGTTGGATATTGGTTCAAGCTGGATGGCTCTGGACATGTGAGCGCCGTTTTTGGGAAATGAGTGGCCGCCTGCCTCTTTGCTAAAACGTCGCCAACAGCCCAAAGAAAGGAAGGGGTCCTACTTCTTCACCGAGATGCGTGCTGGTCTCGCGACCTTCTTCGCCATGTCGTACGTTTAAACCACCTCACAAACGATATATGTGTACATGTATATGTATACGTATATATATACCAGTCTATCTGGGTGCGGTTGTTAACGCTTGTGGCAGGTACATCATTGCCGTCAATTCAAGCGTTGTTTCTGACACTGGAGGAACTTGCGTATGCACGGCGGATCCTCAGGTGGACAGGTGGTGTATCAATGACCCGACCTATGCTATCTGCAAGGCCGAGGTCAAGAGAGATCTCATCACCGCCACCGCCGCCATTGCTGCTTTCGCTACTTTCTTTATGGGTCTCCTCGCCAACTTGTAAGTTCATGATTCTCTTGATCAGTTTTCCGTCTTGGCTTGCTGACAATCAAACAGGCCTATCGGCCTTGCGCCTGGCATGGGTTTGAACGCCTACTTTGCCTACACCGTCGTCGGATTTCACGGCCAGGGTCTTGTTCCCTACCAGGTTGCCGTTACTGCCATCTTCGTCGAAGGCTGGGTGTTCTTCGGTCTTGCGCTGCTTGGTATGCGTCAGTGGCTTGCTCGGGTTATTCCCCGGTCCATCAAGCTGGCGACCAGCGTCGGTATCGGGTTTTTCCTGACCCTCATTGGTATGACCTACTCTGAGGGTATTGGTCTCGTGGTTGGCGATACCTCGGTGCCCCTCGACCTTGCTGGTTGCCATCCCTCCTCTCGCGACAGTGTCACAGGTGCCTGCCCTGACAGTGACAAGATGCGCAACCCTACCATGTGGATCGGCATCTTCTGCGGCGGTGTTCTCACAACCGTGCTCATGATGTACCGCGTCAAGGGTGCCATTATTGCCGGTATCATTCTCATTTCCATTATCTCGTGGCCCCGCACCACCGAGGTCACCTATTTCCCCTACACCGCTGTTGGCGACGATGCTTTCGATTTCTTCAAAAAGGTTGTCGACTTCCATCAGATCAAGCACGTCCTCAACGTTCAGCAGTGGGACATTTCGGGACACGGCGGACAGTTCGGTTTGGCACTCATCACCTTCCTCTACGTCGACATTCTCGATACCACCGGTACCATGTACGCCATGGCTCGCTATGCCAGCCTTGTTGATGAGGAGACTGGTGACTTTGAGGGTTCCACCATTGCGTATGCTCTAACTGTCTTCTCTGTGTCTTTCTTGTTCGTCGATTGCTAACATTGTTTGTGTCTGTAGTTACATGGTCGACTCCGTTAGTATCGCCATTGGTGCTATTCTGGGTACTCCCCCCGTCACTGCCTTCGTCGAGTCCGGTGCCGGTATCGGTGAGGGTGGCAAGACGGGCCTCACAGCCATGGCGACTGGCGTGTGCTTCTTCATCGCCATCTTCTTCGCCCCCATCTTCGCTTCGATTCCCCCGTGGGCCACCGGCTGCGTCCTTATCTTGGTCGGCTCTATGATGGTCCGCGCTGTGACGGATATCAACTGGAAGTACATGGGCGACGCCATTCCAGCCTTTGTTTGCATTGCCCTGATGGCCTTCACCTACTCCATCGCCAACGGCCTGATTGGCGGTATCTGCCTGTACATGCTCCTGAACGTTCTCGTCTGGATCATTGAGAAGGTGTCCGGTGGTCGCATTGTGCCCCAGAACAAGGAGTTCAAGGACCCATGGGTGCCCGACTTTGGCAGCATTATCCCCATGTGGATGGTCAACGTTGCCAAGGGCAGGGCTCCCTGGAAGATGGATGAGCCGGTCAGATCGATCGAAGGAACCACTGGGCCAGAGCCAGTGCTGGTTGGAGAGAAGGGCGAGAAGGGTGACAGCTCCGCCGGATCGAGGCCAGATTCCGCGACCGAGGTCCCAGCTGAGCTCGTCAACGAAAAGGGCGCCCATCATTGATGATGAATAACATGAAAACATGAATGATTTGGATCTAAAAAAAAATGTGGAATACATTCAGGATACGAAGGGTCGTGATGAGGGCGGGCGTTTGTAATAGTTCATAGATAAGGGGGTTGTAAGATAATGGCTGGCGGAAAATGATGCACCATGACCGTATGGTTGAAGATACCAAAGATACCTAATAAACAATTCAATGAACACCTGGGTTTCGAGTTCCCGACAGTGCTTCAATGGGATTGATTACATCTGCCAGAACCCCTTCCATTAGACGGAAAGACTAGTTTCACCAGATAGTTCACTGCCGTCTGCGTTTGCGAATCCTGCCGCCTGGCATCTGGCTCCGAAGTTCAGTGCTGAGCTTTTGTGCTGACGTGTGATATTCATTTGATTTCGTTATTAAAGGTAGTCCAGACTTCAGTACCTCTCCCTTGTGCTTTTCTCAACAGGTACGGGAGCGGCGGGATGGCCAATTGGGCGGAGAGGTGACGAGAGGGGGTTTGAAAGAGGACAAGGAGAAGTGAGTGAGTGAGTGAGCTGTTGATTATGCTGATGGAGTGTTGAAGATGAATACATGTTGAAAGGAAACGGTTGGGGTTTTGCATGAAAGGTGTGGCACATGCCATCACCTTTTGCATCCTTGTGTGTCCATCTGGTCTGTCTAGGCTTTCCTCCCTTCGTGGCTTCAGTTGCCACCCCATAAAGACAGAACCCCTACCTATCCATCCATATGTAGCTCGGCTTCTTCCTCCTCCTTCTCTTTCAACTTTCATATTTTGTGACCTTCGTCAAACCTTTGGTGCGCCAGCCCTCTGTGTAGATGAGCTGTGATAGGAGGAAGGTGAGTTGATGAAAACATGGTTGGGCAGGAAGTGCAGTACATGATTTGATTAAACACTACTTACTATGCTATGTGCTTTGCAAACGTCAGCGCGTAGTCCCGTTTCCCTTACAGCTCGTTTCCTTCCTCAACACCTATTCTAGTTTACAAGTTCATACAGATAATACCTTGATCACCCATGCTTCGGCGAACCTCCCTCAATTTCTCATGGAGGCAGTAAATACCCCCTTGTTTTCGCTTTCAAACCAAACACTCTTCGCTCACGGTCCGGATAACCGAGCTTCGCAGTAAGTGAACAACAAACATAAATCACACCGGCTTACAATAATTCGCCGGAAAATTGCCCCTCCTCCCATTCAACTCCCCAACCCACCAATCCTGATCAGTATTCGTCTTCTTAATAATCTTGATCTTGTCGCCCTCGTTAAACGCAAGATCTCCTGCGCCCTGCCCCGCAAACGTATACTGCGCAACCACGTATTCAACCAGTTGCTGCTGGCTTGTGATCCGTTTCGGCGGCGGTGGTGGAGGGGGTCGCTTCTTGGCTACCGCAAGAGCAAAGTAATCGTTTCCATTTCCGTTTCCGTTCCCATTTGCACTGCCAGCATTCCGAGTAGCCTGGGGGCTATGGGCCCTGTTGATCGACGGAGTGGTCGTCGAAGGAGAGCTCGGAAAGGGCCTGTTGTTCTCAATCATGCCGCGGTCTACCGAGCCTCGGTCGCCCAAGGCAGTAGCCGCGGTGAAGTCGGTGGGCGCTAGGTAATCGAGTCTCCTTTGTTGGTTCTGGCTGCCAGAGTAACCAGAGTAAGAGGAAGCCGGCGGGCTGGAGGCATAAGAAGATCGATCGGATGCCGCGGGTGACGGGGCGCGGGAGGGGTAACCACCTGCAGAAGGGATACGCAAATTGTTGCGTCCGGGTTGACTGCCTCCGCTGCTGTAGGTTGACGCCGCACCGGACGTAGACGGCATTGGTGAAGTAACGCGACGCATGTCGTTTCTCCCAGGTATTATGGCGGAAATCCGGCGGCTTGGGCCCTCAGGGGCCTGTAGAGCCATGGGTGAATGGGCAGCTTTGCCGCGGGCTACGATGCTGACGGACTCGAAATCATCCCGCGCGGGAACGAAGGCAGCTTCCCATGCCGCCACCACATCGGACATGGGAGGCGGAGGCGAGGGGAACCCAGACTCCATGCAGTAGCCGTGAATGGTCGTATAGTATAGCCCCAGGAGGCGATTCTGGATGAGAACCAAGGCTGCAACCAGAGAAGGTACCAGGCTGAAGGAAGCGTTTATGATGGGGGGCAGGGTCGACTGGAGGTGTTCGTCTGCGATGGCGAACTCCTATGTGCATAGTTAGTATGGCTGATCTGAATCAATCAAGTGGACTGCCTGTGGCTAGAGTAGACTTACATCGCCTGCCTGGGCCATCTCCACTTCAGCCTTGGCCAACGAAGCTTCCTCCTTTGGAGTCCTTGTGTGCTTTTTGTGAAGCTTGCTGACTTTGTCCTGGGCCCTTTCGTAATCCAGCCTCTTGTTCTCTCGTTTCTTGATCGTTTTGCGAATTGGGGCGATACAATCCCGTGCTTCCACAGCCGGTCGAATCACCCGGTCTTCAATTGTGCCAATTTCCTCTGCCAGCTCCGACTTGAGTTCGCCAAAGGCCTGTTTCAACCTGTATGTCCGCTCGAGTTGTAGCCGGGGTGTAGGAACTGATTCGCGTCCATGGCCGTCGGAGGCGCCAACAATCGGGTCGTAGAGGCCTTCGAGCTCAACGACAAACTGCAGCTGGTGGTGGACGATTGAGGCCCAGGCATCCTTCCAAGCTCTGGAGTTTTCGAGGAGCTGCACCACGAATCCAAGTCAGCACCAGTACAATAGGGTGGCCGGTTGAGCGGGGATGAACAGCAATGCTGAGCTTACCCTTGCGAGGAGCTGGTCCGCGTCTTCGTACTCCTTCAGTAGAACAGAGACCGCAGCATTGTTACCGGGGCCTTTGCTTCGAAGCTTTGTGAATTGGCGCTGCACAGACTGCATCGTGTCTTGTTGGGCAGTGCGAAAGTAGGCGAGCGACTGGGACACCTTTTGTTGTGTACCTCGATTGCCTGCTGTCTAAGTCGGGATCGATTGGAGGCTAGATAGCCAGAGACAAGACACCCCTGAAAAGATACAAGGCGAAGCCAATGCTGATCCGCCGATCAATGGGTGATAGATCGAAGCTTTTTGGAGAAGCGGTTTTCGATGCAGATGTCCTTGTCGGAGGATGAAGTGGATTTGCGATGATGACGGGCATAGGAAAGAGGTCCTGTCGTGAAAAATGTTGTTCGCGACAACCCCAGGGTGTTGCAGAAAGGCAGGACTAGGGAGCTTGAATTAAGCAATGACACCACCGTAACGCTTGGCCAGAAAACTCGGTTGATGACTGTATGTCTCAAGGTAGTATCGTAGAGCTAAAGAAGGTAAGATCAAGTGCTGAATTGGGTTGAAAAGCTGACCCTTCGCCCAAAGGATAGCTCGGAGCAGGTAAATTAATAACGAAATTGGACATAGGTAGGATAAAGAGGAAGTGGAAATTAGAGATGACCACCTATGAGTAGTCAGTTGTTTATGGAGACTCTAACTAGACTTCTAGGTAGCAGTGACGGCTATAGACGACGGGATAGTGATGGATGGGTACCTAGGTATATACGAGCATCTATGAATGCGTCGTCATCCTGTCTGTTCTTTTGACATTTGACTGGCATGGCCCAACACGAGCTGGCAGAAGAGGAAAGAGGGACCTGAAAGTCATAATGATGCCGGCCGACGGACCGTGGAAATGAGGGGGCGCCGCCGTGCAGTTGCATCGATGCGCTGCAGAAACAGAGGTGAATGTGTTGAACTTCAACTTTCCAAGGCCTTGAAGACATCTGCCTTGATGCAGTGCTACCGACGACTGCATAAACACAGCCTACTAGGTATGTAGGTCTGCTCCTCGGTAACACTCACAAGAATAGGTAACGACAGAAGATCTGGTGAACTTTTTGACAGCGCCACCCAAACTGGGCTCCAGAAGTGGAATGGGAGGAACACAAATGACAAAGGGCTGCTGCTAGCGTAGCGTCACTGCCATGGCGCGAAACAGGGGGATGTCAGACTTGTTCTTGGCAACGCGGGCGGGTGATTGCAGCACTGCCTACTTCACCACATTGTAGTCACCTGACTGCGCGCTTGAACGCGCCTTCCTTTGCTGAAGCTACCCGTCGTCGCGTCCACCTGGCTGCGTTAGTTGCCCCTGTGGAAATTTGGGATACCAAAGGACAGTAGACAACGGGACGTCTGCCTCCAGGGCCCCGACCAGGACCTGATTATTCTGCGCTTCGTTCGACGAATGCATTGATTCCTTCAACTCAACAAATTTGAGGCTCACAGTCGGGCTATCCGCCACCACATCGACGACTGCCAAACACAGTCGATAGCGGGACAATAGGACGGTCGTTCCCTTGCGACATGCCCATCGTCAGCCGCCATGGCATCGGTCGTGTCCTCCGGGCGCTCGGATGCTGGGGCTAGCGAGACAAGCAGCACTGCCGAGGTGCTCGAGTTCCTCTGCCTTTTCACTCACGACTTGAAAAGGAAGCAAAAGAGGTGGCAGGACGGCCGCCTCAAGTACCACACCTTCAACAGGCGCGTCATGGTCTACGATGACCGCGGAAATTATGTTGGTGATATGCACTGGCGTCGTGACTGGGACTTCGACGAGGGCGAAGAAATTGAGCTGGAACGGGGCGGCGTCATCGTCCAAGTTGCCGAATGTGTGGCACGTCAGCAACAAGATCTCTCGGAATTAATAGACAAACGGGCGAAAGAGAAGGAGCAGCGCCAGGCGCTGATAGCATCACGGCCAGCCCGTCCTACTCCCGCGCATACACCCCTCCGAGTCACACCGAGGAACACTGCTCAACAGGATCACTTCCAACTTCGACACCGGCCTCTAAACCAGCTTCTTGGCACCCCGACAGGCCACCACGGTCGCGCTCTCGTACCAGACGAATCACCTTTCGAACAACGACACGACGTCGGTGGATCCAATGATGGGACTGACAGCTCTAGGCCGTCAAAGAGGAGACGGTATGAAGACACACCTCCCAGCAAGATGGGCTATGCACAGAGTTTGTTCGGCGCGTCCCTGACCTTGTCCGGGGCACCTGCGAGCTCGGCACCATTGCGGCGCCCTGTGGTAGCCAAAGTGCAGACTAGACGGGAACCTTCTCCACCACAGGAGGCTGGCCCTCGGCAGCAAGATGAGAGTGATGCGCCCACTCGAACGACCCATACCATGCGTCCTAACCGCATGACGGCTCTCAGACTTGATAACATGTCACGACCGAGACCAGCACCAGCGGCACCACCTGAAGAGGGTTTGTTCGTGTCACAAGAGGACCACAGTGATCCTGTTTGTGAGACGTCAAATCGGGACGACCAGAGACATCACACAGAGGACAGCAATACCCGCCCTTATGGACGTTCGAGTTTCGTTACTGGACCCACTACGAGTGAAGCAGCATACAGTTCCAAGTCCCTGCAAATTACCAAAGGAAAGGGTACATTGACATCGAGCATCGGAAAGGGCTCTGAATTGCTAAACAACAACAAGAATGCAACCTCTGTGCGCCCTCGTTTGACATATTCGAAGAAGGACAAACAGACCATCATCCTGGACGGCGACGACGACGACGACGGCGGCGGCGGCGATGAAAATGAAGATGGCCGTAAGCAGCGCAGTGATGCCTCTCCACCTCCCAGATCAGTCATTGGGGGTAGCTCGAAACGTGCCGCTCCTGTTGCAGGGGAGATACATGACAACAAACGCAAAAAGACTACGTCCGTGAAGAAGTCCGTTACCGACAAGGGCGCTCGACAAAAACCACAGAATGAACCAGACCCGGTGACAATTCAAGATGAACCAATGGCGGAGCTAAAGATCAAATCACGACAGAAGCGTGGTTTATTAGTACTGTCAGAGAAACCGAAGAGAGCCCAACGTCCAACCAAAAGCCCCAGTAACCAGGTTGCAGTCGAGCCCATGGAGACGCGTACAACAAACGACAAATCTGCGGTTTATCAACAGAGTGTTCCCGACGACTCAGACGATGACCCCTTCGCTTGCCCAGTGCCTGTCATCGACACCATTTTGCCACGAAAAAACAAATCGCGAGATAGTGGACGACCTGGACTCCTCTCGGAGTCTCACAGGGACCGACCCGTCGCAAAGCAAGATCAAGGCGAGCCAGCCGCTGTCGCCGCTGCGAATTCACAGGCAAGCCCAGCAAAGAATAGGAATCAGCAAGAAGGCCAAACTTTAGTGAGCGACTCCGACTACACTTTGAGATCCCACCACTCTCACGCTGCCCAGAGAAAAGAGAATGCTCAGCCAAAGGAAGTCAAAGCCAAAAAAAGCCTTGAACCTCCTGAACCCAAGGGGAAAGCACACATCGAAGTGGACAGCGGAAAAGAAGACGAAGAGATATCAAGATACCCACGAAGGCGTAGAACCACACGAATACCAACCGAGCCCGTGTCTAGTGATGAGAGCAAACCCGACGAGCCTGAATCGGCTGCAGAAAGTGCTGACGAGGAGCTACCCCAAGTTCCTGTTGGTCCACGCTTAGCCAAGCTCGCCAGGAAAAGCATCAAGAGCAGAGAGGTGATTGGGTTCGTTCCTTCTAGCTCTCCAGTCATCAACATACACAAACACGCCGAACCAGTCCCTGGTCATATCCCAGGAGAGTCTCGTTTAGTGGCTGAGGAAAGCTCAACTTTGCATAGCAGCAACACGAAAGATGACATTACGCCCCCGAGCCCAAAGGTAACAGTGGCAGAAGATCACACAGGACGCACTGAGAAGCCCGAATTGATGTTACCACTCTCTGGTTTAAAAGACGTGGTTGATCCCGCTTCCCTACAACAACCCAACGGGGTTTCTGAGAAGACCTCTCTTGTAGTTACGAGTAGTGACAGCAACAACGCCACTCCTGGAGACGGCCCCTCGGCACTATTCACGGATAAACAAGCGCCTGGCAATGTACTTACCGGCCACACCTCAAAGGTTGCCAACAAAACAAGTGGCAACGTTCCCGCCGATAATGCGGCATCGGCCACAGTCCGCAAGCACAAATTACAGATGGCGCAAAAGATTAAGGAACCTCCATTGCCTATGCCAGATCAGGCAGGCTGTGATGATGGATCAGAAACTAAGGAATTCCGAGCAAAGGGCGAAACGGCAATGTCACCTTCACACGAGAGTCGTGTGAAGGACAAACGCCAAACTGACATTGCCGTCAGTGTTCCGGTTCCACTAGATGGTTCTGTAAAGACAAAGTCGCCCGTTGACAATTCATCCACCTCTGTTGCTACAGCGCGGATCGTAAATCCAGCTACAAGAGGTCGCAAGGCAGCACTAAAGTCTCATGCAGCAGGCCAGGTACCGCAATCCCTTCTTCCTGCTGAGCCCGCTCCAGCGCGTGTAGTTCCACGAAACCGTGAACTATCACGGCATGAGACCACAGGATCCGGTGCTGAAGAACGGCCAAAGCGGAAGATGACCTTTCCCGGCTTCACTTCTGCTCGAGCAGGCGGCCCGTGGAGCAGAGAGGCACATGACCTATTGGAAACGGGGCGACCGGTTTGAAAAGACAATTGCCGCCATTACCTCTGGCGTGAAGCTAGCATCAAGCAAAGCTCCATTGTACCAAGCCGCACCACCATAATCCAAGCTCTCTACATGCTTCCACCCTTCAAGAAAGCCCAGTTGGTCGACGTCAACTGTGCCTAGGAATGGATCATTATCGCCGATTGGCACAGCAGTATCATTTCAACAGTGAGGAAGAAGGACCTGCCCGCTGCAATATTGATTTTTCTTGTCCCTTGTTATTGATGTGGCTTTCCTCGAAATCGTGCAAAGTCACAAGACACAACATATGCATCCCAGTTGACCTTTTTCATTATGCGTCAAAAGGCGGTCGAGATTGTAGTTAGGGCCTCTATAGTTGGTTGCCGGTACCTGAACTGGCACTCCTATAATAACTAAGCAATGCACCCGACGACGCATGTCCTACCCCAGAAAAAGGGCACATATGCGAGCAATACGAGGACCAGTCAACTATCTATGCAGCGAAGATGGACACAACTTCACCGACGTGAAAAGCATCATTGTGTAGGTTGTCCCCAAGCTTGCCAATGACGCGTTTCCATCTCCAGGTACCCGGAAGGATCCGGTAGTCAGGAACAGGGCTCACGACATCACCAAGACGTCCAAGTGACACCCTATTGTAACCTCTTGGCAGAGGGTAATTGGGAGCCGATTGGAACGTGGGGCGAGCTTACTTCTCTCGACCTTCTCCTGCCTCACGCTCTGGTATCCGCACATTCAACGTACAAAGGCGGCGATGGCGTTCATCTGACAATACTAAAGACCAACGGCAAACATACCCGTACCTACTCCTCGAGCCCGGGTACGACGACAGCTTGACCATCGAAAAGGAGCCGGACGACCCCCACAGCTGAGCTTGGAGGTAAAGTATTTCCTTGCTACCTTGCCAACTCCCGCCGCATACACCTCACGCCGATTTGCACATCAAGCCGACTTGTTCCATGAACGATCGGAAAATGTCTCACTGAACGGTCTGGTTTACCCGACGGATATTTGCTTGACATGCGGGACCAAGGGACGTCTATTTTGTAAGGCTCAGCCGGTCAACGCTTTAAGGCATACAACGGGGGCAATCATCATATGAGGGGTAAACATGAACAGCCACGAAGGTGTCCCATGCTCAGCTTGCCCGGTAATTGAGCTTATGTGCAATCCAGGTATGGACTTCTCAAATTCTGTCGTTGTACCAGACAAAATTGCCCAGAGTTGGAAATGGTCTTTTGGTCTCACTTCCGGGATGTTCACTGACCTCGCCCATGACAAACTTGATGAGATCTTTGGGCCACAGCCTTCGCGGCGGCTTATTCCTACGGCCATCCGGCAAGGGCCTCAACAATCTTGTCAGGGACGAGCTGGCCTCGTTTGGTGTGCGCTCTACTGACCATCGAAGACAAATATGGATGGTAAAGCCTCTTGCCAAGTGGAAAGAGGCGCAGGAGACCATTATACGCCAATTGGAAGGGCGGCCCATATTCCAAAGGGGCAGAATGAGGCTCGAAGCTACACACAATTCGAGGTATCGACAAACGACTATAATATGAATGGACGCTGTCCCATGACGAGAATTCAAAGTAAACGTCTCTTCCACGCTTCTTATTCCCCAACCTTCCATTGCTAGGAATCAGCTTTGTTCAATTCACTTGTGTTTGTCGCAGTCGCGCGCACTTTCGACAGACAACAGGCTGCTAATGTCTGCCTGAGGGTGTGCCTAGCCCCCTGGTTTTTCGTGTACCGTACGTACTCTCACCGGAAAGGGTTCCCAAAAAAGATTGAAGAGGCACATACTTATCCTTCTGTTGAAATATTCTTCCTCAACCTTTCCTTTTGTCTGCTTTTTTCACTGAAAAAGACCCTCCCTATTTCTCTTTATCGTTGATTCGGTCTTGAAACCCTATTCTCTTTTCCCGTGGCTTGTTGCCTTCAAGTCTGTTCCCCTCTACTCTGTACACGAACAGCACCAGGCGTAGGACACTTGCGTGTCGCAGCCTTGTACACTTACATCTCCTTCATCTCCCCACCTATCTATATCAAGTCTTCGCCCCTCCGCTCAGCAGACCGATTCTATTGTCAAACCCTGTTCTCACCATTTCTATCTCAACCTGTCTCTGCAGCTGTTGAAAAAATTAAGCTATAACCCATCAGCGTCATGTTCAGGGGCGGTTTAACCAAGCCTGATCAGGGCGCTGAGGGATCACGAAAACCACGCCAGAGCCCACAAGCGCAAAGGGCCTACAACCAGATGCGGGATGTCGAGGAAGAATTCAAACGTCCAGGGCACTTCGGAGAGGCCCTGCAGCAGCGCGAACGGGGAAGACAGAACGGCATCAGTTACAGTCCCTACCTCGGGATCCCATCACCCCATATTAGACGACATAGATCTCGTACTGGTTCAATCGGCAGTACTGGCCCAGCGTCAACACAAGGCTCGGATGGAGGAGTCGAGGACAGCGGGCGCAAGAGGCGTGGCCATCGTACCAAACCTTTGGAAGAACCCCAGAGACTTAGAACGGCATTTATTCGGACGTACGTTGGTGCTTGCGGAGAATGTCGCACACGTAAAGTCAAAGTATGTTGTCCATACCACTAAACAAGCCCGTAGGTGCTAGCATAGAATGGCTGACTCTTGTTTGTGAAACCGTCAGTGTACACATTTTGATGACACCGAGCTCGAGGCGAACTACCAGGCATCCAAACAGTCAAGACATCCATTAGCCCCAATGTCACCAAGTCGCCAGGTTTCCATCAGTTCGCCGGGACCATATTCCCCAGTTCAATGTCCAAACGAACTTTTCGGAGTTGGCAGCCACACCTCTGGTTGCCCTAACCAGCCGATCGTTAATCACCACGACCATCTACCCGACGACATCGTGCTCGAAAGCCCATCAACACTGGTCAATACTTCCAGGGAGCGTTTATTCCTTTCACGCGAAGACGTCCAGACCAGCGTCAATCCAGCCTATAGCCCAACCTATAGCCCAGCATACTCTGCCCCTCTTGGCTTTGATGATTTATACACACCATTCCTCAACTCTGATCCCGTTTCTCCGATGCTGTCCTCGTCAGCTTCTTCTGTTGGAGATGTTGACAAACCACTTGGCTTACTCGTCATCGACTCAGTCACCAACGACCTCATCTGGGAATGCAAACGAGGAGCCGTCGATCCATGGGCAGTTACGCGCACCGATAGCAGCGAATCGTATCAATGCCACGCACGCTTTCCAAACCACATTTCTTTTCTGGACCATTACAGGACTCAGCACGAGCCCTTCGTCAACGAGAAGATAGTACGCAGATGTACGTGCTGCGGCTATTTCGAAGGGCCTTTCGCTTCGAGATGCACCAAATGCCAAAACAGCTTTCACTTCGTCTGCAATGCCTTTGGCCTGTTGGACACATGGTATTACGGTACCATGATGTCCCCTGCTCCCAGTTTGACGGCTGGCACATCGACGATAACCACAGGGCAAGGCTTCGGAAACGGACTGCTGGGCCCTCCATCGTTTGTCGGATCCAACTCTTCCGGACCTAACTCTCATGTATCCAACTCTTACGGATTCAACCCTTACGGTAACTACGGCAGCAGCTATGCCGGCTCCATGAGTAACCGGACTTTTGGAATGGCACCAATACCACGGTCTGAACACGCCTCTGCTCACCAAGCCCACCATGCAACCCCAAAACTCGATGTCGCTCGTACCCACCACAATAAGAACTCGATCTCTCTGACAAAGGAGGACCACCCAACAATACCTCTCCTCGACCGCCACCACCACCACCACCACCACTATCACTACTTTCCCAAAAAGCCATTCTCATTCGCGAAATGCCGCGCCTTCCCAACGACACTTTTCCTAATCTATAAATCAGCAGAAATTTCGTTGGATCTCACAAATCCAAAGCTCAACTTCTGCCTTGCATTGGTCCACTTTCTCATCCTGCTGCTTCTACTTCCTTTGGGCTTTTCAGACATGAATACCACCACCGCCTCCTCTTCATCGTGTATGATCAAGCGAATTGCGGAAGGGACTTTGCGATATGTTGGGTTAATGGGGCGGCATGGGCACATACCGTTCGTGCCGGTTGTGTGTATTGCCGTTGGGGTGTTGGGGATGTGGATTGTGAGATCTGGATCCCAATTTGTCCAAGAGGTTGTTGCTGGGGAGAGAGTGACAAGTTTGTTACCGATGTATTTGATTGCGTAATGAGTGGTCAAAGGCGGAGCCTCTTTTTCTCCCGACTCAAGACCCTGATCCTTTTCTTTTCTCCCCCCTTTTTGCCTCTTCGATTCGGTTCACCGTTTGGTTTTATCGCGGTTGTGTTTCCAATTGTTGATGTCTCGCTGTAACATCAATCATTCCGGTTTTGCCACTGGTCTTTCAACTTCTTAATTTATATAAAGGCTCGTTCCATGTCCTGTACCCTCACTCTTAGTACACGCTTCAGGGAGCAGCAGCTCAGCAAGGGATGTCGTCGTTTTAATTCAATGGGCTCTGTTGTTTTGCGTCGGACCTTGTGGATTGATGAATCAAGCTAATGTAGTCAATGACATGTGGCTTAGTTTACATAACGAGCCACTTGTTGGGGCAGCCGAGCTTACGCTGATTCTGATAACATGATGAGGATGGTTTCGAAGGGAATATGGAATTTTATGTACTGTCCAGGCAGGACATGAGAGAATTAGATAATCCAGCTAGCCTATACTATTCTACATCCTAGCTGGAGACCATTGGCTAGCCCCGCGTGTTCGCTCTTCGTTTTCAAGGTTCAACTATGAATGGGACTAACAACCTCACGGGCGATGTTGTCCCGATATGGCAGTAAGTGCCACTATTCCCACACACATCTAGTGTACATGGGAGGTGGACGATACTGGACACCAAGCGGACAAGGTTGTTAATTGTAAGGTGATGGTCGGTGGTTAGCAGTGGTTGCTAGTTCGCTGTTATCAATTGATGGTTACGAGCCCCCTCCTTCCCCTTTCAGTTTTCTTCTCGTTCCTTGTTGCGTTGGGATGTTGAAGAGTCACACACAGCCACCACCAGCAATCGCGAATGGGGTCAGACACAGCCCACTTCCCGATTCCGATATCCCACGGGGCCGCATTAATGCGATTTGCAGACAGCGGCAATGGGCGGGAATGATGCAGAGTCATCGATTCAAGCTTTTCTGTTTTGTCTAACTGAACCGTACCCGAGCGAATGGACGAGCAATTGTTGTCACCGTTGATGTTTGGAGAAGCGAAAGAGGAAGGATGCTCACGCTGCAGTGCTCTGGGGGACCCTTGCCCGAAAAGAACCCAGCATGTGCAAGCTTGGGTAAACGGCCAATCAATGAAGCGCAATGAAGAAGACTTGGAGCAAAGCCTGGCTTGGCGCCCCTCCCCACCTTACCCAACTTTCGAACGAGCCGACCGATGCGGGAATGGCTTCCCTGTGCGGGTTTCGGGCGCTCAAAAGTGAGATGGAGACGGGCTTGTCAACAGGTACCTACGACACTTTGGGAAGAAAAAGGCAGCCAGGACATCACTTCTCTGTATTGCGTCGGCTACATAGGTACTACCTTCCACTTGGAATCAAGGGTTCAATTGACTCATACGCATTTGCATATCTCATTGAACCCACATGATCTAGGCACACATACATACCTCGAGGCCGACAGGCTGCCGTGTGCTACAACACACACATTGACGAATGCGACGAACAAGAAACGCCAATTGCCGGAAGTCTGCAAGGCGCCGAGTTCCATGCCAGCCCTCTCCAACTTTTGAAGGGTTGCTTCGAGTGGAGCAAGCAAGCGGTCGCACCCACCTAGAATCGCTCGCCGTGTCCGACCATGCAGGCTGGGTCGATGAAACACTGACTGCTGGAATATTTTGTAGACATGGTGCGATTGACTTAGAGGTTCACCATATGGCCAGCAGTCCATCATTACCAGATCCAAGTGGCACATACTCTTGGACATCCTCTTGATGCTGCCCTTTTCTCGAACCTCAAGAGCCCTCGCTTCAAAACTTTTCAACGGGCGAGAACCGTTCTCTCACACAGGTATTCTCTAATGCCTCTCTCCTTCTGCTTCAAGACCTTCAAGATTGGAAGATAGGTAGGCCTTTAGCTACTAACAAGGTTGGGTCGTATGTTGAACGCAGCTGCGATGCGGGTCAGACACACAAAAAAAGAAGACCAAGAAGTAGCTGGCCAAACTGTACTAAGACGAAAGAGGCACGCCGGCTGGCCTTGCGGTGATTGGCTAGTTTTGTTATGCAAGCTCCCACTGTCTTCGCTGCGCCCGCTCGCATGTCTAATGAACCACTGGTCAAAGATCCCGTCCGCTGCTTTGCGCATTGTTGAAATATCGGGGATGACTCCCATCGGCCGACTCTTTTTTGCTCTTCTCTTTTCCTCCTTTTTCCATCGAATTGAGATCACACAGTCACTCCGGCTTCCCAATCGCAGGTGCCCCTGACGGACATACCCCTTCGTCCTTCGACACTCAACAAGTGTCCAAGCAAGCCGTGTTAACCACCTTGGTGGACCAACCACGAGGCAGTCGTCGCAGCAGTCGAGGAGCATCCCCCGTCGTCGTCAAGCAACACGGAGATCATCCTACTGCCCTGCCGGTACCCCACCAATCTCAAGTTACCACACCCACGACAAGCAAGCAAACCTATCGGTATCGCTTAGCCAACAACAACCTTGTTTCAGCCGCAGCATTCGAACTTCCCAGAAGCTCCGGCACATATTCTCACTATAGAACCATTACCAAGAGATAGCCAATTGATCTGGCCCACCCAGGCGCAGTCACGAGACTTTGCTTATCTCAACTTCGACACTTTGTCTCCAACAATTTATCCCCGAGACCCCTGAGACTCTGGCTCCAATGGCTGGCTTATCTCGAACCAATTCGGCCAACGCCTTCATGGAGGGCTTCTCGGTCTGCCAGGCCAACCTCGGCGAGGCCCTCACCTGGCTCCCTGCCATGGGCACTCCTGAGCTCGATGACATGATCAACGCCTTCATCCCGGGCCCTGCATCCATCAAGGACAAGCGTGCCCACATCTCCATGGACTTCCTCAGCTACTCGCAGCGCACCGGGTTCAACTTCAAGTTCTACCCCGTCCCCTCGACCTCCTTTACCTCCGCCAGCATCGCTTCTTCAGCCAGCTCTTCGCAGTTCGTTGACTCTGGCTACGCATCTAGCTTCAACGTCTCCCCAGTCATTTCCGACTCGAGCGCATGGACCCAGTCCCCGGCCTCTTTCACTTCCCCAGCCGCCTTCGACGACGCTACCAGGATAGCAAAGGCCCGCTCATCGACCTCCACTACCAAGAAGTCGACTTCTCCTAGCAGTCGACATCAGGTCGTCGACTTTGCCAACCACCCCGGCATGCGGATCATGACCAAGGATGGCCGAGATGTTACCAACTCTGCCTCCCGGGGATGCAAGACCAAGGAGCAGAGGGACCATGCTCACCTCATGCGCATCATCAAGGCCTGTGATGCGTGCCGGAAGAGGAAGGTCCGTTGTGATCCCAGCCACAAGAAGCGGGCTGCCTCGCACACATCTCCCGCTGCGACCGAATCGAAGCCCACCAAGAAGCAAAGGAAAGAGACAGCAGAAGCACCGCCGCCTGCTCCAGTTGTTGTTGAGACCACCCCCGAGTTGCTCGACGTCAACCATTTGGAGAACTTCGATGCTGCCACATTCGTCATGCCCTCTGTTGAAGGAATCGAGACGGTCGATGACAACTTCTGGAACCGGTACTTCAACTTCGACCAGGATGTCTTCCCCGACTTTACTCCTGGCACCTTCGATCAGTTCACTCCTTCCCAGGAGCTCTTCTACCAGAGCACCAGCTCCTCATCGGCCGCCTCTCCGTCGCAGGTATTCACTCCAGAGACCCCGGCACACACTCGCCCTTCACCGGCAATTGCCATCGAACCGGTGGTTGCGACGGCCGCTCCGGCTCTGCCCTACCTAAACCCGGGCGTTCCGCATGGCACCGAGTTTGTCGACTTCAATCTCTACTCACCACCTGCCGACTTCTCTCTCGACGAGGAGCTCCTCGGCCTTGGCCAGCAACAGTCCCATGCACCTTTCGACTTCGGATACGCCGATCAGCAATACTTTGGCGATGCCAGCGTCGTTGCCCACAGGACTGAGTCACGATCCAGTCCATCTTCACCATCCGTATCCGGAGTGATACCAAGTCACCAACGACGGCCACTTGAGGTATACGGCGGACTCCCTGGAAGTGAAGACCTACCGACCTTGAGCAACGTATCGCCAGCTGTACAAACCCCCGGTCAACTGACTGTGCAGCAACAACAAGAACAACAGCGCTATCGCCAACTTGCATCAGGTAATGAGAGCAGGGTAATCCCACAAAGTTCTGATCAGCAATCTGTAACAATTGGCTCAGGAACGCCGCCTAGTCCAGCTTCTCCTGCCTCCAACGTTACGAGCGACACGTTGACGGCGCTGAATGCTCGACATGCACCTCATAACATCGACAGATCTGTGATGAACGTCGGGCGAACGGATCCACACCGGCGTTCACCGATTGCCTTGCAGTTTGTGAATGCCGGTGAATCGGTGAACGCCGGTGCTACCACCCAACACGCATCGTCTGTTGAACAACAAATCCGCGCCGCGACGGTGGAGACGTCTGCAAGGTTGAAGTCACCAGTCAAATACAACAGCTCTGTCCCACAACGACAGAAGCAAGGATTTGCTGGTCTGCCGGTAGACCTCTCTACAACATCCCGAGATGTCAGCAGTGGCATTTGCCACAGTTCTGCCTCCAAC